GATGATGTGGCCGCGACTTTACTTTTTTGTCCTGTTTGAAACCGGACCAGACATGACGAGAGGCAAGGGAGCGCGTGTGTGTGCGCGCACATGATGGTGTGGGTACGTGTGGGGCGTACAATTTGCCTTTTGTCTTACTGGTTGTTGGCTTCTTTCTTTCTTTCTTTGGTGGAAACGCAGAGAGAGAGAGACAGAGATTTGTGGCATGGAGGGATAGAAAGAGGCAGGAGCTAAATTCCTCCCCTCTCTCCCCCAGGTTAGGCCTGGCTGCTGTTATGCTGTGGTGAGTGAGGCGTGGAGAAATCCACGAGCGCACAAAGTTCTGTGTGTGTGTGTGTGCGCGCGCGCGTTGGGCCCTAGGAAACAGAAGTATATGTAAATTTGTGCTGATTGGTCAGGGTCAGAGGCTCCATTTTGCGTGTGCGTGTGCGTGTTAGTGTAAATATAATAACTCGTCCTTGCTCTGTGATTTTATCATCTCTACTGGCTCCTCATCTGCAGATCTGCTGTGCAACCCCCCGAATATATGCCTCCAGGTGTGTGTGTGTGTGTGTGTGTGTGTGTGTGTGTGTGTGTGTGTGTGATCACTTGAAAGACCTCTGTGCAGGGAAGGCGCGGGGAGGCAGTAACGTACAGAGTTTAATTTATGACTCCAGCATCATCTGACTTTAATCCGGCATTCAAAATCAACTTCAGTGCATTAAGATCAGATGGAAAATCAATATTTTGCATTCGGTCGTCTATTTCTTTTCTACTCGACAGCCAAACACCTCAATTGTTTTTTCTGTGTACCTACTATCAGGGCGGTAGAATCAGAGGGGAATTCCACATTATTATTCAGCTGTATAAACGATTCCAGTGCAGCACCGTGTTCATACAAAGCAGCCACATGTGCTACTGCACGTTCCTGCAAGCTGCAAGCTCAGAGGTAATAAGTGATAAGTTTAATTAAGCTTTAAACGCCTTAAAAAGATAAGGACACTGTTGGTTGTGAGAAATATACAGTATTAATGTACAATAGTACTAATACTAGTAGAATATATATTTTTCTCTTTTTATTTTAACTGCAATAAGACATTGTTTTGTAACATGTTGTATAATTATTATATACTCGTATAATACACCGTATTTCCGATGGACAGGTGTATTCTTTATTTAGCAGAGACTTGGAGAAAAACAAAGCGGCCCCGTGATGCCGCATTCGTCCGTCTGTTAATCTTTAACTCGTCCCGGGGCCCTTGTGTGGCCTGCTGCTGGCTCCGACCGGTAACGGTCCGGTGAACTGACCCAGAGCACGAGCTCACGGCGGCGTGAAGGACACGGCCAGCCGGCTCGGGCTGCCTGGAAACGATTAATACATTAAAACAAAAAAAGCACTAGTGAGGCAGTTTCTCTCAGTTTCTCATTAACTACTGCAGGAGAGGTCGGCCAGCGCGCACACACACACACACACACACACCGGACACTGCTTCCTATTGAGTGTATTGAGCTTTAAAGCCGTGAACAAACCTTTACATTCCTGTAGTTAAACAAAACTTTTCCTCTTTTCCGGACATGATTCATAAGTCACAGCCTATTCTAAAACCTTTATTCAACTTTGTAACATTTACCGCCTTTGAAGATATTCATTAGCCTATTTTTCAAAATTATAAGGTGATAGGAAGACTTCTGAATGTGTCTTTCTTTTACCTAATGCTGTGTGTTTTGAACGATTTCCCAATTTTAAGTAAGCCAAAACACATTTATGTGTTTAAAGTTAATACATGGGGGAAATGTAAGTTTTTCAATTTACCAAAAAGATATTATATTATAGATATATGGTTGTTTTGAAATTAACCTGCATATCAACCCTACCTCCTCTGTCATTAAAAAATCAGTGTAGTCTCTGCAATGTTTGAAATTAAATTCGGGGTAAAAAAAAAAACACCGTCTAAGTTAATAAAATAAATAGCAACGGTTTAATTTCATAGACCGTTAATTATAATTATTTCAAAATGCTTGTTAATAATACTGAGTGAAATGCAGGCGATCTGAGCATTGCCGGGGCTGAAATGAACCGCAGATGAACTGTACAGTGCCCGCGTGTGTGTGTGTGTGTGTG